TGTGTGTGTACTTTGGGACTTGTTGTCTTACTTGACTTGTTTGCTGAAAGCTGACATTCTTCTACTTGAACTATACCTCCAGCCCTGTTTTTTTGGTGGTTAACTGGAGATGTTATCTTTACAGACTTTTATTCCTGGGCTGCCTTTGAACTGAGATCCTCCAGGTCTCAGTCTCCTGAGTAGCTACCATTGTAGGTGTGGTCACAGGCTCCTATCTGGGTCCCTTATTTTTGATGCATAATAACTAATTTCTCTAGCCAGACTGAAATTAGTTTTATTGCTTTTTCATCATAGTTCATTGTTCTAGTCAGTTCTAGTAAGAAGTGTTTACCAAAAGTTATCCACTACTCTATTATTTTTATCAGCAAGTATTCACTTTATTTAATATTTCCAAATGTAATTATTGTCAGCATTGAAGTTTAAATGGCAATGAAATGAGATTTTTTTCTCTCTGTGTATGAGTGTGTGTGAGTGAGAGAGAGAGAGAGAGAGAGAGAGAGAGAGATAGGGGGCTTGAACTAAACCCTGAGCACTGTCCCTGAGATTTTTTGCTCAAGGTTGATGTTCTACCACTTGAGCACAGCTCCACTCCTGGCTTTTTGATGATTTAAGATAAGGATCTTACAGATTTTTCTGCTTGGTCTGGCTTCAAACCACAATCCTCAGATCTCAGCCACCTGAGTAGCTCCTACTATGGGCCAGAGCCACTTGTACCTGGCTGATTTTCTTTCTTTTTTAAATCCATAAAATAATAAAGATTCATTATTTAAAGCTTAAAAACTGTATTGTCAATGCAATAAGGATAGTGAAATTCTTTTTTTTTTTTAAATTGGTTGTGGGGCTTGAACTTTGGGCCTTGACGTTGTCCTTGAGCTCTTAAGCTCAAGGCTAGCACTCTACCACATGAGCTACAGCGCCACTTCTGGATTTCTGGTGGTTCATTGGAGATAAGAATGTGACAGATTTTCCTGCTGGGGCTGGCTTCAAATCATGATCCTCAGATCTCAACCTCCTGAGTAGTTAGGATTATAGGCATGACCCACCAGCACCCAGCTAAAATTCTTTTCTTTTCCCTGTTGAAATCAATAGTCACTGTGGAAAATATAATAATAATATCAATCACAATCCTTTGTGAAGTCTTAAACAGACTTGATCATTTTCATGTAGGTGGGATCTTAAATAAAAGCCTACTTCTCATTTTAATTATTTTCCTATTTTATAGGCTATGAGGAGATTACATTTTCTCAATATTTAAAAACTCAAAAATTAACACCCAACCTGCAATATTTTGTCCTGCATTCAATTGCAATGTCATCAGAGTCAAGCAGCAGCACCACTGATGGTCTCAAAGCTACCAAGAACTTTCTTCACTGTCTTGGGCGATATGGCAACACTCCATTTTTGTTTCCCTTATATGGCCAGGGGGAACTTCCTCAATGTTTCTGTAGGTAAGTTTCATATAGATTTTCTGGTCCTTTCTAAAGGAGATACCTAAGTAATACATGACAGAACAAAAATGAGATATATTTACAGTTTAATATATGGAAACAAGCACTTCGTTCTATTTTTTTTTTAAAGAATAAGCTATTTACCTGCTTAGTTATTCATATAAATGATGTATTCTATTTGGCCTATTTGGCTTTGTGACAAATATAACAATTTCCAGAGCTCCACAAATTTTTCAGCATTTAAAAAATCCATGTCCGTACATTCACATGGAAAATCATTGCATTATATTTTTATCCTGTTTCCTTGATTACCTATGCGATTGCACCTCTGTTTCTTAGTTAATCATGCATTTGACAAAGATACCTTAAGTTGCCTTTTGCATTCAATATTATGTTTCAAAGCATCATCCTTACATATTATCATAATTTTAATTTGTAAGAGTCTGGGAAGGTGACAGTGGTAAAGTGCTTGCCTTGCATACATGAAGCCCTTGATTTGATTCCTCAGCACCATATAGGCAGAAAAAGCCAGAAGTGCCACTGTGGCTCAAGTGGTAGAGCGCTAGCCTTGAGCTGAAGAGCTGAGGGACAGAGCCCAGACCCAGAGTTCAGGCCCCACGACTGACAAAAAAAATTAATTTATAGATAATATTCCACTGTGAATATACCACAATCTGTTTTTCCAGTTTTCTGTTGATTGACACACATAGATTTAGTTTTTCATTCTTATCATCCATGTGTGTGTTATGTGTATGGATATACATATGTCAGGATATATATGTTCAAAAATTTCTTTGTGATACTTACCTAAGGGTGAGATTTCTGTGTCATAACATATTTGAATTTTGACATATTATGCCACAGTGGCCGGTTATTTTTCTAGAAGGTGGTACCAGTCGCTTCCTATTAGCAGTGTATAAACATTTTTATAGTTGTGTGTTTGCCACCAGAGAAAACGTTTTTGTCCATTTAATTCACATAAAATTATTATCAGTTGTATTTTTATCTTAAATACCTGATTACCTATGAGACTAATCCTCTTATGTTTCTGAACTACTCATGGTTTCTCTTCTGAGAAAGACTTGTAACATTTTTCTATTCATCTTTTGGGTTGTTGTCTTCCTAGTAAATTGTAGGAGTTTTTAAGTATATTCTTAATGCTAATCTTTTTTCAGTTATTTGGGCTTCATGCATATTGTCTTATTGTATTTCTGATACATGGGCTTCACTAAGATGAATATAGATAAATATAGGAACCTTATCTTTCATACTTATTTTTGGAGGTAGTATTATATAGTAGTTAAAAATATAGTCCATGGAGACCAGGTACCAGTGGCTCAATCCTGTGATCTTGGCTATTCAAGAGGCTGAGATCTGAAGGATTGTGGCTTGAAGCAAAATAATCAGCAAAACAAGCCAGCTAGAATGGTAGAAGAGGTTCATGTGGTACAGTACTAGTTGTGCAAGCAAGCAAGAAACCTTGAATTAAAACCTTCATACTGGTATCAATAACAAACAACAACAAAAAAAAACCCAACCAGAAAATCCCCAGACTGTGGAGATAGATGGCTTGATTTTATCTGTATTAGCCATGTAGCCTGGGGCAAATTTTATAACCTATTATATTTTCAAAGAATCAGCTTTAGAATTTTTAAAATTTATTTTGGCTCTGTTAAACCTTTTTTCATAGCTATTAACTTCTGCTCATTTTACTCTCCCATATTTTACTGTTCTGAGGATTTTATTCAGCTTATCCCTTCCCACCCTTGCCCTTACCCATTTTTAGACCTAAACTCGAGTTAAATAAGTTGACCCTTGAACAACATTGTGGTTATGGGTCCTGAACCACTTTACTGTCAATTCCCCTAACTCCCCATAACTAAACTATTAATAGCCTGAAGCTGACTGAAACCTTACCAATAATATAAAAATGATTAACACATATATAATGTAAAAACTATTTGGGAACTAAAAGATCACCTTTTTACTGTGATAACAATTTTCTGGGGAGAATAACTGCTCATCTGGAGATGATTAGTGTTTCACAGTATTTGAAGTAGATACTTGCAATTCTTGAATTGACCAGAGTAGAACAGGAAGTAGCTATGAAAACACTACTACTGTATTACTACAGTATGTTTAATGAATACATTTATTTCAGGATACATTTGTTTACATCTCACTCTACTAAATGGTGCCAAACACACTTTGCATGTGTGGGTGAAGTTTTTTTCCCTCTACATTTTAAAATTCCTTTCTTTCTTTTTCTTTACCCTGGGAAACTTCATCTCTGCTCTTCTTTTTTATTGCATTTTTTTTGTTATTGTAAAAGTGATGTTCAAAGAGGTTATAGTTACATAAGTCAGGTAAATAGCACATTTCTTTTTGGACAATCTCATCCCTTCCTCTCTCCCATTTTTTTCCTCTGGTCCCCACCCACAAGTTTTCTTTTTTTTTTTTTTTGTTTGTTTGAATTCTGGGCTTGGGAACTGTCCCTGAGCTCTTCAGCTCAAGGCAAGCGCTCTACTACTTGAGTCACATTGCCGATTTTGGTTTTCTCCCACCCACTAGTTTTATAGCTCATTTTCAGCATAGTGTCTAGTGAGCATCACTGCTGCATTTGTTCCCACTTTGTTCCTCCATTCCTGTGCTCCCTTTACCCTCCCAAAGACAGATAAACAAACAAGACAAACGAAAATAAAAATTGAAAATGGCAACAAAGGAAAAAAAAACCTCGTTTCTACTTCCTGGAGTTCATTTGAATAAATATTGTTTATATGGTCAAATGCACATGGCTCTTGCTCCTTTTCATTCCTCTCCTAAGAATATTCTCCTTTGATCTCACTGTGTGAATGCTTAGACACCTGTATAATTTATCAAGTCCCAGTATATTTTTAAAACATCCAGTGTGTTTACTTGTAGATTTATAGATACATTTTTGATATCACAAATGAAGGAAAACATGCAACCTATCTTTCTTTCAGTTTGGCTTATTTCACTTACTATAATTTTATCCCATCTTTCTATTTCCTTATAAATGGTACAGTATCCTTCTTTATGATGGAGGAGTAGAATTCTATTCCTCTACATTTTTATTAGTATTAATCACATGTCCAAGGGAGTTTCATTTTGACGTGTCCATGTATGTATACAATGTATCTTGATCAGGTTTATCCCCTCTATCACTCTCCTTCATTTCTCTCCCCTTTTTTCTAACCAGTCTCAACAAGCTTCATTATTCTATTTTTACACAGGTAAGTAAAGTATTTTGACCATATTCACTCTCTTTCACTTTCTCCATTAGAACTTCCTCTTCCCAATAACCCCACTTTTTTTTAGTGTTTGTTAATTATTCAAAGGAGATTTACTGTGGTATTTCTCACATGTATATATGTTTGTATTGAGCCTCTCCATTTCTCTCACTTTCCCCATCCCCCTACTTTCAATTATTCAGTAGCTTTCAATGAGTGTTGATCAATTTTAATATGTAACATTATAGATTTTTTTTAAACTTCACATAGAGATTTGAGATAGTAAGTGAAAAAGACACATTTTTATGTTCTTGACAATATTTAACTTTTTCTCAATTTCTTCAATATTTTTAAGCTGTGTAGTTTTTCAGTTTTTCAAAATGTCATAATTCTCCAAAACATATGGATCATGTATTTGAAGTTCATTTTTCCTTTTCTTGTCGTGTGTGTGTGTGTGTGTGTGTGTGTGTGTGTGTGTGTCTGTGTGTCTGTGTGTCTGTGTGTTCAGGTCCTTGGGCTTAAATTCAGAGCTTGGTCATTGTTTCTCAGCCATTTTGCTCAAGGTACTATATCACTTGAGCCAAACCTCCACTTCTGACTTCTTGCTGGTTAATTAGAGATGAGAGTCTCATACTTTCTTGCCCAAACTGCCTTTGAACTGTGATACTCAGATCTCAGCCTCCTGAGTAGCTAGGTTTATAGGCATGAGCCACCAGTGCCCAGGTAATCTTTTTATTTTCTAATATAATGAGGATTATAAAGTTTATACTATTCTTCTACATCTTAATGTATAATTTTCATTTATTCTAAGCATTTTAATTTCTATTATAATTTTTTCACAGATCCATGAGTTATTATAAGATATTTGAGAATAGCTAACTTATTGATTCTTCTTTATCTTAATTGCATTATTGGTGGAACATATGATTTTATGGTATTAATTCTTTTTTAATTTTTTTTGATACTGGGGTTTGAACTCAGGGTTTGTGCTTGCTAGGTAGTTGATTTGTGGTACTAATTCTTTGCACTTCATTGATATTTATTTTGTAGTCTAGTATGTCATTTATTTTACTCTTTTCCATATATGCTTGAGAATTTTTTTGTTTTTGTTTTTGGTGCTAGTTCTGGGACTTGATTTCAACGTTTGGGCACTGTCCCTGAACTTCTTTGGCTAAAGGTTAGCTCTATACCACTTTGATCTACCATTCCAGTTGCAGCCTTTTTGTTAGTTTAATGGAGATAAGTCTCACAGACTTTCCTACTTGGGTTGGCTTTGAACCATAATCTCAGATCTCAGTCTCCTGAGCAGTTAGGTTTACAGGTATGAGCCACCAGTGTGTGGCTGCTTGAAAATATTTATATGAAGTTGCTTGGTACTGGGTTCTCTAAAGGTTTTTCTTGGGGCTCAATGTGGAAACTTCAGGGAGTGCCTGGCAGGGAGAGTAAAGAAGCTTGAATACTACCCAAATAATCTAATTGCAATTGTGAAAATGGAAAATAAAACCTGTTGGGTTCTTAGAGGGAAGGGAGCAGGGAGTGTGATAGAGGAGGTAAAATTGAGTTAAAATACAGCCTAACCCCTCCTCATATATAAGCCAGTAAAAAAAACTTTGTTTTACTTCTGTTTCTCTTGGTCTATTAATAATAGAGAAATGTGTTTTGAAATCTCCCATAATGATCTTGAATATGTCAATTTCTTTCTATAATACTATTAACTTTCCATTTATTGGGAGGTAATTAAGTTAATAG